ATGACGGTTTGTTGGCGAAACTTCGATGCTATGACTTGTCGGATCATTTTTGAGTATGGCTCTTCAGCTTCTTAAAAAAACGTTCCCTGCAAGTGGCCGTCGATGGATATCTCTCCAATTATTTCACAGTCAACGCTGGTGTTCTCCACGGATCCATATTGTATCCAACCTTCTTTTTATTGTATATCAACGACTTATTGAAAAAAAAAACAAATATATTGTTTCGCTGAGGACAGCAGACTTGTCTCGTCATTCCATTTGGATTCCAGGACATCGGCTACGGAGGCACATCTTCACCGGCAGCAGGAGGTTCCATATCTTAACGATGATCTAGAAGTGATTTCGAATTGGGATGAAAGTAACCAGGTTCAATTCAATGCAACAAAAACTCAGGCATCGGTTTTCTCCAAGAAGATAAATGTCTCCGAACCGGATATGATAATGTCAGGTCAGACAATTCCGCTTTCTGCTTCGATAAGTTTGTTGGGGGTTAAAATGGACAGCAATATGTCTTGGCACTATCATGTTACTAGAATTGCAAAGGCTGCTTCTCAAAAGCTTGGAACAGTGTTCCGAACCAGAAAACTGTACACACCTCAGCAACTTTTGATGCTTTATAAAGCTCTGATCAGACCTTCTTTGGAGTATTGTGATGGTAATTCGGAATATTCATCAAATGTAAAAACTTGAAAAGGGTATATTTTTGGCTTTCTAATTCCCCATCTTTATACAAACAAAAATGTGGGAATCATCCAAACTGAATAGGAAGAAATGCGTTGTATAATTTAATGTTCATATAAAAGGATTTGCCACGAAAGTATTTTCCTTTCATGTAATTCAATGTTTATATGAAAGTAGTTGTATAGTTGTATAAAAAGGCAAAAGCATTTTTCCCACCCATCAAGCTCTTTTGGACCACGGTCCAGATGGTAGAACAAACATTATTTTCTCGTACTATAAGAACTCGAAAAATGAGGGCGTCACCATAAGATGAGAAATTTCACGAAAAAGCCCATAGAAAATGATGAATGAAACACTCATTAAATCATTTTCGACTCCCATCAGGATGGTAAAAAAAAAGTTATTCATTTACTCATACTATAAAAACTGACAAATAATTATTCTGTCACAAATTAAAAAGTGGTATGACAAACTGAGGGAATGGTACGAAAAGTGTAAACAACTCATTCATGGGAAAGAAAGTTTTTGGCTTTCCACTTCTCCATCTTGATACAAAAAATGTGGGAATCTTCCAAAGAGAGGAAGAAAGCAATCAATTTCAAAAGAAGTAACTCTATACATAAATGTGTAAATCATGCAAAGAAGTAACTTTCAGGCACAAACTGAAAGAAAAAGTCCTCCTGAAACAGCTACTTTCATATAAGATAAGAGCATTTATTAATATAGGAATCCTAATATACATAATACTGTTATGACAATCACATTTTGAAAATACAAGCAAAAGTATAACAAGAATAATAAAAATAAATAAAATCAGAGGATGGAGTGTACAACTCTTGATAGACCAATGAACTGAAAAGCTGATATAAATTTGGAAGATATGTTGAACTCAAACATATTTTTCTTTCAGATATTTAGTTAGACGGTTTTTAAAAATTGAAATGGAGTCACTACATTTAATATCATTGGGAAGTTTATTGTAGTCCAAGAGACCCTTGTGGAAAATAGAATTCATTGTCATGGTATATTTTGTTCGGGTAACATATAAGTTCTTATTCCCTCATGTAGAGTAATCATGGATTTCATTTTGATAAGTTATGAACTGGTTGAAATAGGTAGGAAATTTTCCAGTAATAATTTTGAAAATAAATATCATGGAAAAATAGGAAAGCCTGTCTTTTACAGATAGCCAATCGGATATTTTAATAAGCATATTATTAATTTTTTTGACAGCATTGGTTAAGCTGATATTGCTTGCTGTCAGCAAAGTGTCATCTGCAAAGAAGTTTATAAATCCACAGTCCTGAATATGATTGATGTCATTTAGATATAAAATAAACAGTAACGGACCGGTATTGATGGATTTTTTGTTGAAATGTAGTTGTTTACTTTAGTACACTGTGACCTCTCTTGTAAATAACTAGAGAACCAATTGAAAACGTTGCCAGTCAAACCATAGTACTGTAGTTTCATAAGTAGAATTGAAATATCTAGAAAGCTCGTTTAAAATCTACAATGTACCTATTTGCATCCATATCAATTTTCCATTTGGATAGTGTTACTTGAAGAGCAGTTTCACAGGAATGACCAGCTATAAACCCTGATTGGTATTCCATTAAAAGTTTATTTGTATTGATGTAGTCAAGAATTTGATCGTACACAGCTAATTCAAGTACTTTTTCCAAGCTTGGTAATGTATTGATAGGTCGGAAATTGATAGCCTCGTTTGTATTTATTATTTTGGGAACTGGTACAACTGTACTTGTTTTAAGCTGATGAGGAAAAACACCAGTAGTTAGTGACGTATTGATAAAGTTCAAGATTATTGGACCAATCACATGAAAGATACTTTTCAGCACTTTATTATTCAGAATATCTAAATTACACTTGCTGACTAAACTATTTACTAAAATTTTTAGCTCATTCAAGGTTAAAGGCTTAAAAACTACCAGAGTGCATTCACTTATTGGAAGGTTATGGTTTGACCGAAGGTGGGCTAAGGGAATACTATTTTTAATTGATACCTACTATACTATCAATGAAAAAAGAATTGAACATTTCAACCTTATCGTAATCTAAATTAGCTGTTGTTGTTTCAAAAATGATTTGGGTAGGTATAGGTGCATTATTGGGTTTGATAAGAGTTTTGAGTGTTTTCCACATTTTTCTCGGATTCCTTGAACAATTATCTATTTCTGTTTTATAATAACTTAATTTTTTTTAATTGAATTACATGAAAGAAAAATTGTTTCGAAACAAATATGAACACTGAATTATACAAAAAACACTTGTCTCTGCTCAGTTTGTATTCCAAACTTTCGCTACCTATGGAATTAAATCAGATATCATTCACAGGATTTCTACACAAAAATTAGTCACTCCAAAAAATATAACCCTTTCAATGTAAACTCATTCATGCTTTCATCAGATTCGTTTGCTACTACTACTAGGCACATTCAAAAAGAAATGTCGGTATTAGGAAATAATTTCACTATGTATTAACATTCCCCGATGAGGGTCCAATATGATTTGATGTGTATTTAATCATTTATTTCTTCTTGCTATGAAATCTCGAGAATTAAGGGTGCTGCCACTAGATAAAAAATGTTGCAAGGAAGCCCATGGTCAAACGGCAGTTCGACCATGGCTTCGACATCGACTGCCGACGAGTTTCTTCCTCTATCTTTCATTATAAGGCAAACAAATCGTAAACTAGAGCCCAAACACAACACATTTATAATCCAGCATTAGACAGGGCTGTTTCGACCCACCATAGCACTCGTCAGTGGTGCTAGGCTGAACCACAATTGCATTGCTGGAATCAACTGTCCTCAAAGAACAAGCCTTAGTCTCCTTATGAAGAAGCCATTTATTGGATCGTCTTTCAATAATTTTTGTTTTGTGGCAGCACCCTTACTTTTCAAGTTTTTATAGTACAGGAAAAGAAATAATTCTGCAAGCCCGACAGGGCTCCCAAAAGAATTGATTAGTGTTTTGTTCTTCATTTTCTATGAGCTCCCACGTAAAATTTTTCAAATTCTGGCAGCGCCTTTATTTTTTGGGTTTTCACAGTACAAGGAAATGAACATTTTTTTCTACCATCCCTTCGTAAGTCCAAAAGGATTTGATGAGTACTTCTTCATCAATTTACATGGGCTCCCTCCATGACGTTTTTCTTCTTGTGGCAGTGCCTTATTATTCGAATTTTCATATAAGGAGGAAATAAATATTTTTTTGCCTTCCCGACGAAGTTCTGAAACGATTTGATGAAAGTTTAGTTCACTATTTCCCATTGTCTTTCCTTCACTTATTTTTGTTTCATGGCAGTGTCCTTGTTCGAGTTTTTAAAGTACGAGAAAATAACATTTTTCAACATCCCAACAGGAATCTAACACAATCTGATGAGAGTTGTCGTTCGATATTTCGAATTATTTTTCTCGTAACATTATTAATTATATAGCAGCGCCATTGCCTTTTCTTCACATATATTTACACAAACATTCAAAACATATTTACAGTACTAGAAATCCTGTAACAAACATCTAGTAGTTACCGAGACAATAGCCAAAATCTGTTTTTATCTTTTCTGTCTTTCCCTAATGTATCTCAAATTTGTTTGAGGCCTTTTAAGTTTTCTATCCGTTATTTATAATATTTCATTGAGAAAACGACTATAATAGCTTTTTGTTATTATCTTTCACTACTTCAAACTGATAAGAATGATGCATCTATTCACATCATTATTTAATACAAAACTTGCTTGACTAAGTAATTTTAGAGGTTTATAAGACTTAATGATTATTTCATTCAGTTTTTTAATCATTGCTTTTTGGATCAATATTTGCTGTATTTAAGCAATTAATTCATTATTATCATGTGTAAAATTGTAATAATCTTGAAATTTTCTTGCTTTGGTTAATGAAATGAACATTTGTCTTTTTGCATTAATGCTTGGGTAAAGGTACTCTTCTTGCGTAATGGTACATCATGTGATGCGTTACTTAATCTATAAATCCAGCTTGAATATTAGGAGTTGAACAAATTAAATATTATGAAGACGAATTCGTTTCTTCAACTCAAAGGGATTTGAGTTGAATTTACCTTCAAAACAATTTAATGCTTGGTTCAACTGAAGGGTAGAAATATATCAAAATAAAATACAAAACCCACAGAAAAATCAAGTAAGGAATATCCCTTGCTGATGCTTTAGAAAATTTCCCCTAATCGATCTCCAGATGAATATTAGCAAAATTACAGTACTTACTGAACAGTACTTACCGTTACTGAAAATTATTATAATCAAAAGGAATAGTTTTTACCTCTGAAAAACTGAAGAATAACGGTATAGATCCAGCCAAAAAAGAACCAACTAGCATGACTAAAACTAATGCTATTAGCATAGAAGTTTCTTCCATATTTTTTCTGACGTGGAATTATCAACTACCTATGTTTTATTGATACTATCGTTTCGTCACTTATGCATAGTTTTAACAAACGTATTACAAAAATGCATACGTACTAAAATTTATTAGAAAAACATAAAAAATTTACTAACAAACTTTTACAAATAAAAATAAAACATTTGAGTACGTCACAGAATCATTGATACATGTGACATGTGTCACATGAAATAGCGTTTTCCATTGGTAATTCTGGTATAGTCGTAGCAATTGGTATTGTGCCGGCGTACTCAAAGGCCAAAAAACCAATACAGAGAAATAAAGCCGCTGTAAAGTAGTCCTCGTGATCTGAAGAATTGACGGCTCGTATTGAATGATTTTTATTAACCGCGTTTAATGATTGGCTGAAGAGTCATAATATTAAATTTGAAGTCATGATACGGTGACGAATAGACCTGCCATTTTGTGTTGTGGACAAGTTTGCGAGCTATCAGAAATTTATCTGTTTTAAAAATGATATGTTTCTCCGGAAACCAGCTGTCGCATCCCTACGAACGACATCCCTCAGAAGTCAAATTTTGTGCTCTGAAATAACGTACTAGTATTCTCCCAATAGACATCAAAATCTAAACTCTAGTAACTTCCAATCACAAGACATTCAAGAAAGGTAACTCCTCGTTGTTTTCAATTTCATATGTAAACTTTATGTTCGGAGATTTGTTGTTAAGAGTTGAAACAAAGTCCTCTAACTCAGATTTCCTTACTTACTCTTTTGCTTCAAATTCGAATTTGCTCATGAATATATAAGCTATGAAGGGAAACAGTTGGTTTTCCATTGCCGTACGTTCGTATTGTATGTAGAAACAGGTTTTGAACAGGAATCAATTATGTTCCTCTTAGATTTTTTCGGTAGTTGTATATATTCTTTGATTATTTCTTCACTGAGAAATGGTCTTCAGAATAATCCTCAAAATATATTGAAATCTCTCCATCCCTCAATTCCACAACCTTGATTTTATTTATGAATTCATGTGAATTAACAATTAACAGACCTCAAAATCAATTGTGAGATTGAAAAAGTTTCAAATCAACTTGTCAGTTATGTGAATCATTGGTAGATCGTATATCTTAGGAAATTTAGGATTAGAAACCTGTAGACTCCTATTCAAAGTATGTGCGATCAAATTTTGAAACTTCTCGAGTGTGTGTTTTTCACTTCTGAAATCATCTTAGGGAATTGGTTCCTTGGTAATCCATCATAGGGACCAATCTCAATTGAATTATCAATTGTCTCATAGCCGACGAGGTTATGATATTAGACAAATTAGATTACTATAACTAATAGTAATCTGATTTGTTCAGTATCATAACCTCGTTACTATTAACATTACAAGTTTATAATAGGGACAATATAACATACAAATCGAAAAAAACATACTAAGAATAATACAACGCTAGATAAAAAATGTTGCAAGGAAGCCCATGGTCAAACGGCAGTTCGACCATGGCTTCGACATCGACTGCCGACGAGTTTCTTCCTCTATCTTTCATTATAAGGCAAACAAATCGTAAACTAGAGCCCAAACACAACACATTTATAATCCAGCATTAGACAGGGCTGTTTCGACCCACCATAGCACTCGTCAGTGGTGCTAGGCTGAACCACAATTGCATTGCTGGAATCAACTGTCCTCAAAGAACAAGCCTTAGTCTCCTTATGAAGAAGCCATTTATTGGATTGTCTTTCAATAATTTTTGTTTTGTGGCAGCACCCTTACTTTTCAAGTTTTTATAGTACAGGAAAAGAAATAATTCTGCAAGCCCGACAGGGCTCCCAAAAGAATTGATTAGTGTTTTGTTCTTCATTTTCTATGAGCTCCCACGTAAAATTTTTCAAATTCTGGCAGCGCCTTTATTTTTTGGGTTTTCACAGTACAAGGAAATGAACATTTTTTTCTACCATCCCTTCGTAAGTCCAAAAGGATTTGATGAGTACTTCTTCATCAATTTACATGGGCTCCCTCCATGACGTTTTTCTTCTTGTGGCAGTGCCTTATTATTCGAATTTTCATATAAGGAGGAAATAAATATTTTTTTGCCTTCCCGACGAAGTTCTGAAACGATTTGATGAAAGTTTAGTTCACTATTTCCCATTGTCTTTCCTTCACTTATTTTTGTTTCATGGCAGTGTCCTTGTTCGAGTTTTTAAAGTACGAGAAAATAACATTTTTCAACATCCCAACAGGAATCTAACACAATCTGATGAGAGTTGTCGTTCGATATTTCGAATTATTTTTCTCGTAACATTATTAATTATATAGCAGCGCCATTGCCTTTTCTTCACATATATTTACACAAACATTCAAAACATATTTACAGTACTAGAAATCCTGTAACAAACATCTAGTAGTTACCGAGACAATAGCCAAAATCTGTTTTTATCTTTTCTGTCTTTCCCTAATGTATCTCAAATTTGTTTGAGGCCTTTTAAGTTTTCTATCCGTTATTTATAATATTTCATTGAGAAAACGACTATAATAGCTTTTTGTTATTATCTTTCACTACTTCAAACTGATAAGAATGATGCATCTATTCACATCATTATTTAATACAAAACTTGCTTGACTAAGTAATTTTAGAGGTTTATAAGACTTGATGATTATTTCATTCAGTTTTTTAATCATTGCTTTTTGGATCAATATTTGCTGTATTTAAGCAATTAATTCATTATTATCATGTGTAAAATTGTAATAATCTTGAAATTTTCTTGCTTTGGTTAATGAAATGAACATTTGTCTTTTTGCATTAATGCTTGGGTAAAGGTACTCTTCTTGCGTAATGGTACATCATGTGATGCGTTACTTAATCTATAAATCCAGCTTGAATATTAGGAGTTGAACAAATTAAATATTATGAAGACGAATTCGTTTCTTCAACTCAAAGGGATTTGAGTTGAATTTACCTTCAAAACAATTTAATGCTTGGTTCAACTGAAGGGTAGAAATATATCAAAATAAAATACAAAACCCACAGAAAAATCAAGTAAGGAATATCCCTTGCTGATGCTTTAGAAAATTTCCCCTAATCGATCTCCAGATGAATATTAGCAAAATTACAGTACTTACTGAACAGTACTTACCGTTACTGAAAATTATTATAATCAAAAGGAATAGTTTTTACCTCTGAAAAACTGAAGAATAACGGTATAGATCCAGCCAAAAAAGAACCAACTAGCATGACTAAAACTAATGCTATTAGCATAGAAGTTTCTTCCATATTTTTTCTGACGTGGAATTATCAACTACCTATGTTTTATTGATACTATCGTTTCGTCACTTATGCATAGTTTTAACAAACGTATTACAAAAATGCATACGTACTAAAATTTATTAGAAAAACATAAAAAATTTACTAACAAACTTTTACAAATAAAAATAAAACATTTGAGTACGTCACAGAATCATTGATACATGTGACATGTGTCACATGAAATAGCGTTTTCCATTGGTAATTCTGGTATAGTCGTAGCAATTGGTATTGTGCCGGCGTACTCAAAGGCCAAAAAACCAATACAGAGAAATAAAGCCGCTGTAAAGTAGTCCTCGTGATCTGAAGAATTGACGGCTCGTATTGAATGATTTTTATTAACCGAGTTTAATGATTGGCTGAAGAGTCATAATATTAAATTTGAAGTCATGATACGGTGACGAATAGACCTGCCATTTTGTGTTGTGGACAAGTTTGCGAGCTATCAGAAATTTATCTGTTTTAAAAATGATATGTTTCTCCGGAAACCAGCTGTCGCATCCCTACGAACGACATCCCTCAGAAGTCAAATTTTGTGCTCTGAAATAACGTACTAGTATTCTCCCAATAGACATCAAAATCTAAACTCTAGTAACTTCCAATCACAAGACATTCAAGAAAGGTAACTCCTCGTTGTTTTCAATTTCATATGTAAACTTTATGTTCGGAGATTTGTTGTTAAGAGTTGAAACAAAGTCCTCTAACTCAGATTTCCTTACTTACTCTTTTGCTTCAAATTCGAATTTGCTCATGAATATATAAGCTATGAAGGGAAACAGTTGGTTTTCCATTGCCGTACGTTCGTATTGTATGTAGAAACAGGTTTTGAACAGGAATCAATTATGTTCCTCTTAGATTTTTTCGGTAGTTGTATATATTCTTTGATTATTTCTTCACTGAGAAATGGTCTTCAGAATAATCCTCAAAATATATTGAAATCTCTCCATCCCTCAATTCCACAACCTTGATTTTATTTATGAATTCATGTGAATTAACAATTAACAGACCTCAAAATCAATTGTGAGATTGAAAAAGTTTCAAATCAACTTGTCAGTTATGTGAATCATTGGTAGATCGTATATCTTAGGAAATTTAGGATTAGAAACCTGTAGACTCCTATTCAAAGTATGTGCGATCAAATTTTGAAACTTCTCGAGTGTGTGTTTTTCACTTCTGAAATCATCTTAGGGAATTGGTTCCTTGGTAATCCATCATAGGGACCAATCTCAATTGAATTATCAATTGTCTCATAGCCGACGAGGTTATGATATTAGACAAATTAGATTACTATAACTAATAGTAATCTGATTTGTTCAGTATCATAACCTCGTTACTATTAACATTACAAGTTTATAATAGGGACAATATAACATACAAATCGAAAAAAACATACTAAGAATAATACAACGAATAAAAATTAAAAAAATAAATAAAAATATGTGAAACTACAAATCTGTCAATGTATTTCAAGATATATTCTTTTATTTGTGTTTTGAATTTCATATAATTCAATTCTTTTATAGTGCTAGGTTTTTATTGTATAAATTAACTCCATCATGAAAATTACATTTTTGACCAAATTTACTTTTGTGTGGTTGTGAAACTTTATTTTGTATTTGTCGTGATCCGTGATCATTTGTTTTATCGTGTATTATGGGATTTGGCGAATAGGTTATTTAGGTATTGTAAATATGACTTGGGGAAACAGCGTTCTGCGTTGATTTCATGCGCAAGGATTTAAGATCAAAGTCGCCATATTGGTAACTGTCTAATCGAAAATTTAAGTAAGTAAATATAGGATTATCCACGTATTACTTTCATCTTTTCAATAATTAATATTCTCATCGAGTTCTCCATCGATTTTCGTGTAAGTAGATTTGAAATATGTCAATTATTTTTACTTGTACTATTCAAAACACTTCAGATTTCTCAAGTTGTTGCATAAAATCTGTACAGAGTATTTAGATTGCTATTTTTTTTTGTTCAGAAAAGAACAGGTAGTTTCAAAGGTATTTGCTCGAATTTATTTTGTAATAATGGTAAAATGATTACGATGTTGTAATGTTATTGAAAATCGATGTGTAATTCTTCATGAAAATTTTGTTACATGGCAAGTACATTGACAGATGTTCTGATTCTTTTGACATTCACTTTAATGTTGCGAACGATCAAAAACAGTTACCTACTTGCAGTACCAGTTCTTGTACGCCCATTATAATGCAAACTTTAAATCCTCTTAAAAGATTTTTTTATTTTGTAATAATTTACCTCAACTTCATGTGAACGAGGTAACAAAGGGATTCCAAGAATTACACATCCTAATTAGTGGATAATTACCTACAGTGTTCTAATTAATATTATTTTAACTATTCAAGAATCTACAGAGCTTTTCGAAACAGAAAGGAGAACATTGCTGATATCAAGATGTCAGTTTTAAATCAAAGTGGAGAGGAGCAGGTGGAATGTCCCCTTTGCATGGAACCACTGGAAGTTGATGATCTAAATTTCTTCCCATGTACCTGTGGTTATCAGGTGAGTCATTCAAATCAATTTCCAAATACTGAAATTGGATTCAGTTGAATAGAGCGTTATTTCTAAAATAGTTGTCAGGTGTTTGAGCGAACCTACAAGTTAAGGGTTATTTGTAATTAAGTAATTTTTTACAATCATAGATTTTTGAATGTAATTTACCATTTCTATGGTAATTTAATTTACATATTAATAGCTAGTATTCACTAAATACTTCAAATTTCACTTAAAAAGTAAAAATTTTGTGTATGAATATGTTTTTTCTGGGATGATACTACATTTTATTCATTTATTCAACGGGTGACCCCGTTGTAGATGTTGTAAGACTGTCGCTTGTAACATATGGATATTCCTTTCTTTTGACTTGTATCAAAAGAAATTAGGCGAGATTTTCATAGTGAATAAGGGGTTATATAAAATATTGAGTCCATCACAAAAAAAATGTCGTTTATAGAATAATTGATATTGTATTTTTTTTTCCTTTTAAGAGTCATACAATTTTTGTTCTCACATAGTCAATACATTTTTTTATATTCATTTTTAATATTTATGAGTGAACCAAAAATGGGTTTAGTTATTGAAATATAAAATAAATATCGTTTATTTGCCAATTCTGAATGTTTCTCTTTGAAGCTGCTAATACTCGTGAATGACCGATGATCCGATTTTGATAACCGAACTGATAATGGGCTTGTTTCATGATTTTTGGTTTCTACTCCCGTTCCGTTAAGTCGGAACTTCCGATTATTATTACACCTTCGGTTCTGACTTCGGCTCCGACACTTTTAAATCGAAGGTTTTAATCGGAGGTCTAAGCATAATATAGCGGCGACGGCGCTTGTTCATTTGTTACGCACACGACACGTTTATAGGTTATTGATATTTATTTTCATTTTTGCGGGTTATTATCAGTGAAAGTGATTAGGCTCGATTAGTATAATATACCCCTAACTCGATCAGTCTATAAGCAAAACAGTATCATTTTCCATAGCATAGCCCTTTGAAAGACCTATTCAAAGTCTTCATTTCCATTCAGAAAAATAACTGCGACCTCTCGGCGATGAATGATGTATACTATTGTTTTCTCATTGAAATGTTCTGAAAATGATGTCTTCTTATGTAAACCTTGAACAACATCAAAATTTATTCCATTTCTAAAATTGAAAGGAGATGGAACTTTTTACGACCGCACTGTATGACATATTTTCAGAAATCAAACTGTTCGTTAAGTGAAATTTTTTAATTTAATATGCTTTTGATTAATAACTTATTAACCTTCAACAAATGAAATCGCATAATTCAGTATTTTTATCAAATTTAAATTTTCACTGTAATGCTTTTTGTGGATATACAAATGTACATTAGAAAGATATTCAAAATAAATGACTTCCTAGAAATATTTTTAACCATATGTACAAGAGAATTATTGAGAGAAGATTTGACTTAGATGATTTTCTACAGTGTCTATCTTGAACTTCAAAAACATAAAGCAGTTTTTTGGACTAAATCATATATTACTGGAAACAAAAATTAACATGACTCACTTCATTCCCGATCCTTGAGTTTTTTTTTTGTTTGAAGTCCTATTCCATTTTGTTTATTGTGTATAGTTTTCAAAGATGATAACTAAATGATTGCCCACTGGAATAACAAATAATTCTAGTTAAAGGGAAACACATTTTAGAAATTCATTTTTCGAATTCTAAAAGTTGTTTGGACTTGTCAGAATCTTCATAAATACTTCTGAAATACCCAGTAACGTTGATGAACGAGAACACTTGGACTAATTTATAACAGTATCTAGGCAGAGAATACCGAAAATAACTAAGCACAAAGTAGGAAGCAGTTAGGGTGATGAACAATTTGGAGGAAACCCTAAAGCAAATAAAAAAATCTGGTTATTCGGGTCAAGAGTGCCTGGCGAAGTTAGAGAAGAAAACATAACAACTTATATAAAGAAACACACCAATTCCACGAACATCTATGTCAAAAACTCAACACATTGCCCGTTAGGATCAATAACCAAGCTTTTATGATTGGTATAGACCCCAACTTACAACAAGTTTATGAACCAAGCTTTTGGCCGGAAAACATACACTTCAGCCGTTTTGACTTTAGAAAGGGTCAACGCTTCTTGGACAGCCAACAAACATCTAAGCCACATCAAACAAGCCCAAATTTTGGAAACCACGCCTCATTTCTGACTCCAACACCTTAAAACATAATTTTCAATTAATGCATATAAATATTCAAAGTCTATCAAACAAAATAAACCTTCTTGAATTATTTTGTAATTCTAATAAACCAACTTTTATTTGTATAACTGAACACTGGTTATGTCATGAAAAATTAAAAAACACTAGGATAGCGGGTTATGAACTAGTCTCCAGCTTCAGCAGGTCTCAGCTTGAACATGGCGGTACAACAATATTTGTCCAGTCTCAGTTTCTCAAACATTGTAAAAACCTATCGTATTTGGTGGATGTATCTATAGAACTTAATTTCGAGTGTTCTGCCATAGAAGTGAACAAAGAATTGTGCATTGTCACAATCTATCGAAGCTCATCCAATGATGCAGATCCGCAGTCATTCCTTGATAACCTAAATCACATCTTAAACAATATATAATAAGTATGCAAACTCTGTAATCTGTGGGGATTTCAATATAGATTTTATGGGAAATAGCTACTATAAAAAACAACTTTTTGATCTATTTGAAATGTTCAACATGAATTTACTCTATAACGAACCAACACATATAGCTAGATATGGAAAATACTTGACCGTCAGTGGGCTTGATTATGTAATAAGTAACATAGAAAACTCATCCTGTAAAATCTTTGACTTAGGAATATCCGACCACTCTGTCCAGACCATGAGTTGGTCCATAACAAACCAAAATAAATTGAAACTATGTATGGATGTACCAATAACACCCTTACAATATGACTGGCAATATGCTAGTACAGTAATTGATGAGGACAAAATAAGATGGGCTATATCGGGCTTTTCCCCTTCAAGTCACCAGGACCTGACGGTATAAGACCAGCCCTACTTCAGTGGGGACTGGACACTCTTATGCCGCACCTGATTGGAATATTCAAAGCCTCTCTAGCTCTGAGGTATATTCCCAGTAAGTTGAGATAAGTAAGAGTAGTATTTATACCCAAACCAGGTAGGATGGACTACACCCTACCAAAAGCATTCCGACCAATTAGTCTCACATCGTTTTTCTTAAAAACCATGGAGAGGCTATGTGAGCGGTACATAAGAGATGAAGTACTTGTTCACAACCCACTTCATCCAAATCAGCATGCATATACTCCGGGAAGGTCTACTGATTCGGCCCTTCACCATGTTGTTGGGAGAATCGAGAGATCAATGGACAACAAAGAATCCACCCTGGGTATACTCATAGATATCGAGGGAGCGTTTGATAAAACAACCTTTCCAACAATTACCCAGCAACTACACTCCAGAATTGTACCCCTGGTAGTAGGAGAATGGATACTGCAGATGCTCTCTAGTAGAGCAATAAGTATTAATGTAGAAGACATCACAAAGAAAGAACTGGTCCTGAGGGGATGTCCACAGTGAGGGGTCTTGTCACCCCTTCTCCGGAACATAGTTCTGGATACCCTAATTAATCACCTTAAGAAAAATGGATTCTACACAATTGCAAATTTGTAAACACACTGTGCGATAGAGCGCAGGATGGGCTCAAATTAATAGAAACATGGTGTAAGGAACACTCACTGTCGATCAATCCCAAGAAGACTGAGATGGTCCTTTTCACCAGGAAAAGAAGTTTAACGGGCTTAAAACCTCCCGAAATCTTCAAAAGCAAACTAAACTTCTCTGAAGAGGTGAAATACCTTGGTACTTGACCTGTCCACCTTCCTGGAAACGACAGGATGGACGATGACCTAGGAGGACAACTCCTCGGGAGGATGTACAATGGGTCACATGTGGCCTAAGTGCGTGGGCTTACACTCACCCTCCTTACTCTACAGATAGAGATACTCATCCTGTGAAATCTTTGACTTAGGAATATCCGACCACTCTGTCCAGATCATGAGTTGGTCCATAACAAACCAAAATACATTGAAACAAAACAGTAAAACAAACATTTTAACACGAAAATTCTGCTTAAACTCAATGCATGAATTCAAAATTTTATATACAAAAAATAAAACAAAGATATTGCAAGATAGTAATGTTGAAATCGTATTAGATAACTTTTTATCTCACTTTAAATCTCACTTTAACTGGTGTTTTGAGATAGCTTTCCCAATGCAAGAAATTAATTTAGGAAAAAATACATCAATAGGAAAAAATCCATTTTCTAGAGAATTGCATAGAGAACTTGAAAACTTGAAAGATATGAATTGGCTGAGGAAAAGAGCCAGTGACTGCTGTTTGAATGAAAAGTATAAGCAAATAAAAAGGGAACTCATAAAAATATCTTCTGAAAAAAAAATATATCACTCTAACTCCAACCTAATAAACAATTCTAATAACAAATCAAAGACCTTGTGGAATCTGGTAAAAATAAAAAAGGTACCAATAAGAACGAAAAGGAAAACCTAATTTTAACTCATAATGGGAAAAAAAAAATCCGACAAACAGGATGTTGTAAATCTGTTTGGAGATTATTTTTCAACCTCAGTGAAAAGAAAAATGAACTCTCTCAACTTGCCTCAAAATAATTGTACCAAAAATGAGATAAGCTCTCCACAAAGCATGTTCTTCAAACGTATTAGCGATTGTGATATCAAGCACATTATCCTGGGTCTAAAAAAGAAATACTCTGCAGGGATCGATGAGATTCCAGCTTTACTACTGAAAGACTGTGTCGAAGAAATCGCAAGTGAATTGGCCACTCTTGTGAACCTATCAGTTACACAAGGTTGCCTTCCAAAGAAATTAAAAATCACAAAAACTATCCCAGTGTTTAAAAAAGGTGACACGCATTGTATAGAAAACTATAGAATGATATGTAT